CGAGCCAGGGCCTTAGACCATGATGTCACCCGAAGGTCTCCTCAGTGTGTGTTCTACCCATCTCCATTTTCTCCAGAATATTTGTTAGGCGATAGGTTCTCCGCTGTTGGTTCGTTCCCGGAATTTCTTGTTACTAACTCTTTTTGGCAGGTCATCTGATCTTCAGTATGGAGCCAGTGAATTTTTTTACGCTGAGTGAAGAAGATTTCCAAACTGAATTCAGAGCGATGAAGGTCTGTCTCGTCTTTCCACTTCTGGTTTTGACATCCTAATCCATGCGTCGTGCCTGTAGTTAAGACGATCCCTCCTTGCCAGATAAGTGAAGAGAGTGACTTTCAAATTTCTCCTGTCAATAGTGATTAGTGCTTGCTGTTTTCGGTTGGTTATTTTTATCATCCCCGTCTTCCATAAGTTTACCTGAAATCTTGTCTTTGCTGCTTTTCCTGCCAAATTAATGGTTTTCACCTGTAAGTCTTGGAGCTTGTTTGACATTAGACATAAATTATCCATGAAGTTCAACCCTTGTAGAGATTTCTTTCCGGCTCGACGAATTGCTGTCTTTTCGTTCCCCACACACAGTGTGCCACATAAGTCAGTCCACCTTAATTAGGAATATCATCGGTTATAATAGTCAGCGCTGTCTTGTCCCATTTTCACTTGAAAGGCCTCACTGAGTTTTCCGTTGGGGATCACCAGTAACAAGATCAGATTATCATCATATGCGAGATTTACTCAATTTTATTCTAATTGAAAATTACTGTTTGTGAAAAAATGGAAATCACTAAACAATCCTGTGAAAATTAAAGAGTACTAGGTACTTACTTTGAACATATGATTAGTCAACAATAACAACCTTGTTTAGGTTGAAACTTATTACATTACGAGGTCATTATGAACCCATGTTCTTAAAAGGTGGAAAATGTGTGACATAAAGTCTCAATCAGCAGCCGAACCGCAGCTTGAAATTCGAAGAATGCTTATTTCCTGAGGTGGATCCAATGAACGTTTTGTAAGAGAACTGCTTTTGAGTTTTAATGGCGAAATCTTCTTCAGATTTCCACTAACCTTCCTGCATATTCTATTTACGAGAAAACGATAATCAGATAACCATGAAAACCAGTGAAGTATTCTACAGCCACGTCCTGTCAGAGTGAGACTCATCACTGAAGCGCATATATGACTCTGTGGAATCTCAAATCCAGAACCTTGAGCTGATAAGTTGACCACGTCACTCATTCGATCACTGAGCAGGAATACAGTGAATAGTGAGTTCCACTTCCTGTCACTTAGCAATATAAGGCCGCCATCAGCCATAGTCATCAAGATTCATTCATCTGCAAAGCGAACTTATCGATTCAACTGATTACGATAGCTTACTGTAGCCCCAGTACTTTCATCCCCATGACAGTCGGTGGTTGAGTAGTGAACGTCCTCAACCCGTAAGATGAGAGTTTTCCATTCACTTACTGAAAGGTTTCAAACTTGATCAAGGATTGATATCACTTAAAGAACCATTGAAAACTACATAGTACTGATCTACTGTTTCGTTCTAGTTTGAGACTCATCGACAGGATGAACCCACCACCTTCGGGGTACAATGCAGGCAAACTCACAGACCAATCATCCACTGGGACCTGACTCAATGACCAGTCAATGAACCCAGTGGTCGCGACTTCTCACTAGAACTCCAGGCAACTTCGTCGTGTAACCAATGACTAGCGAGCATCAAATTAATTCCCACGATTTAGTTTGTAAGGGTTTGACATGTTGTAAGTTTGAATACGGAATGATATTAGTTCACAAACCAAAGAATAAAGCTTGCCTTGTAACTCGAAGGTCTTGGCTTCAAACCCTGCCTGGAGCGTACTGCCGATGAGCCTCAAACTAGGACGAAACAGCTAACTATCTAGCACTCCTCGATTTTCAGCATTTCGCTAACTGATATTAATCTACACTCAAACTTGAAACAAACCAAATCGTTGCAATCTAACTCTTAGATATTGATTAGTTCGTAGTTACACATCACACCAGGCAATCCGCAAAATGAGACTTAGCAGCTTCTTGATTTCCAGTAATTCTGTAAATGATGTCAGTTTGAGATGAAAGCTACGCCGAAATTATTGAAATCCCCCCAAAAAGACATCTAACATTCACCTGTTTTATTTGGCAACAGTGCACAGTTTAGTTTTACTGACAACTGAGTACAATAGTAACTTATTTCGCATTTTTGTATCTATTTCTTTCCTAAATGCGTATCACTCTCCCTCCCTCCCTCTCTCTCTATATATATATTTATATATAAATATATACATATATATATATATATATACCTAGTTACTGATTATATCGTGTAGTATGTGCTTGTTCTAGAGTGAAATAGTGCGCCAAAAATCAGTGAGCAATTTTTGATCACAGTAAATATTTAACTACGTAAATAGGTTAATCAGAAATTCACCTATAACACATTGGTCACGAAAGGTTAGGCAAAATGTTGGCATCATTCAAACATTTGAGTGCTTGAAACCGGTATATCCTCTATCAGCAACAAGTTGACACACACTAACACACAGATGTCTGCTGATTACTATCACAGTTTCATTCAACTCTCTCGTATTTGTTATTGTTTTACTATTATTATTATTGATGACTACGGGTATTTCAGTGTAAGAGTAGAACATGAGTATTGTGTCATGGAATACCATTGCATATTAGATAGTTTTTTCATATAATGCGCACATAGATGACACAGTACTATTAATTGGGTGATATCTGAGCATGTCGACCGATTTTATCCATATTTTTTCAATCCTTTTGCGTTCAGAGTGGAAAATAACGCCTCAGCTTTTTGTACGAGATGGGGTTGTTAGCTTAACACCAAACGTTTCCTCTTAACCGGGCTTACTATCAGTTAATGGGAGGGTTATGAGTGCATCGGCCGGGAATCAGACCAAGAGCACATTCGTGTTTCGTAAGCATTTTACTACCGAACTACAAATGTACTGTAGGTTGCTGTAATTCAATTTTAGAGAAAGTGCAAATCTAGCTATACACATAATTACTACATTAGAAGAGTATTCAACAATTCAACTAAATTCACTAATATTGAAGTATACAATCAGAGTGGGGGACAGAAATAGAGTTTCAAAAAGTAATACAATTCTGTGGGGAGAGAGAGGTTAACCACTGATTTTTTCTTCATCCAGTGTCAACATCTTTTGGTGTAGTTGCGTTCTCTGAACTAGTTGCTCTAGTTGCGAAGCTTTAATTGTCTTACTAGACAACATTCCAGAGCATACTTCAATCTGAAGTGAATAGTCCAGCTCAGAGAACAAAACCATACTACAGTCATCCTCCTAAGCTGCAAATCCCGTTCATAGCTAAATGTATACACTAAATCACGTGCAACAGTAATGATTCAGCAGCAGTAATGCAAAACGCAACAAAATTCAGAGGATAACAAATAATGGAACTGTATATAGGCAGAATCTGAAAGAGGTTTTGTGTGATCAAAACGTTTTCAGTAAATTTACTACAACAGAGTATTATCGTTCACCGTGCGAATGTTTTTATCAAATACAATTTTCTTAATAAAGAATTTCGCTCCACCAAAGTCTTAAAAGTATATTCTCATATCAATAAGATGAAGGCAAGCTGATTCGATTCAGAATAAGTTTCACGCTTGATAACTGTTAACCAATTACTCTTAGTGTACTACTAGGTTGCTTTATATATATATATATATAAATTTGTTAAATGGGTGGAGACAGTCGGCAGTGAGGCTAGGTGGGACCTGGTTTTTGTGCTTAGTCATATCCGAGTGTTCAGCCAAAGTATCCTTTACAAGCCTACAGAAGGCCAATCATGAGCCGAAATTGCTTAGTGCTAACACCTTGACTGCAGCACTGGGTCACGCGGGTTCGAATCTTAGGAGGGACGTGAGCTCATTCAGCATGCCAGGTACTCTTTGCTGACAAGTGATAACAAGCACGAAACCAAGGTTCAACCAGGCCTGCTACCATTTGCCTCCAACCACCTAATAACAGTTCAGAGTGCACCAGGATGACGGGCCACCACCTAGCACATTGGGCACATTGAAAATTTGACTGGTAGAATTCAGTCTGTACCAAGAGGAAGAATTCAGTCATTTACTGCATAGTGCCCAGTCAAAATATATGTGCAGTCAGTGAATCAATAACTCAGAAATGTACGCATACTATAATATTACCCGGGCACTAATTTGCACCATCAGTTACTTTTATATTGCTTCCAGCTAGTCATTCAAGTTCAGCAGATCCCTTTAGTCCATCAGACAGCCATTAATTCGCTGCCATCATTTCTTCGAACAATAATCCTTTGATCATAAGAAGAAAGTAATGAAAAAATTCTTTAATAGTTTCAAGCCTTAGATAGTAAATGAACTCGATGCAAGGTTTATAGTAGTCAGTGAATATCAGCGCTTCCAGAGACAAAGAATAATTATCCTTTATTGGTGATGTAGTGATCGATGTCCAGTCTTAAAATTGACCAATCAGAATCGGCCTCCGTAAAATAACGCCCACTATCTGATTGATTATTGTTAAAGACTAACTGACGTATCCGTGATGACGTTTTGAACTGCACATTATTGCACAAAATATACGTTTTGCCTAACGTTGTTATGGTTTCTCGCTTAAGTAGTGCGAGAAACAGGTAGGGAAACAGGTAGATTAAGTGTAATGTTCTAAGCGTACTCAAGGGGTATTCCTGATCAGTTTGTCTGTCTCCAGCTTGGCCGCCATATTTCAATCTCAACGTTTTGCAAAGGATAACGATACCCATGGGAGTTCCATCAGGAATCGAATCCAGCATCTTTAGGTTGTAGCAGTTTAGTGTCAACAAGCTTTATTATTATATTCCGTCAGATATTAGAAGTAAGCGTCGTCATATAATGCTGTTGCATTGCTTGATTTTCCGTCCTTATTTTTAACTCTCTCACTCTTCCTTCCTAATTCTTTCTACAGAAATTCATCGAAACCGGAGTAGTTTTACTCTCCAGTATCCTGGAAATGCAAAAAAGCTGGAAAGACGATCAGCTCCGCCACTTGTAAGTATCTGTATGTCAGTGAATTGATTAATCAACCAATTATTTATTCATTTACTTATCTATTTATTTATTTATTTAAATTATTTCACAATAGACATCAAGGTCATTAAAGTCACAAGTTCATGTTATTATTATGATAATTGGCCCGGATAAATAAACATGTAGGTGGAGACACATTTTTTGAGCTAATATCAGTCAATCTGTGATTCTGGATTTTGCATGATTTAACACGATGATGAAGGCATTGGCGTTGACTAAACGCAGAAGTAAAGCATTTCCACTTCTCTTTCTATCATGGACAAAAGGATATTGTTTTTTTCTATCAATGTTCAGTTTCAAAAATGTAGATTTCATCAATATGTGATATACAATTTTTTCTGTCTGTAGGGAATTTACTGAAGCTATGGTAAGTTTCATCAGGACACTGAGCGTTTGCTTCTCATTTGAAATTTATTGGTGGTGCGCACATCAGCATCCTCAATATGATGAAATTTACTATCCCCCTTATAACTTGTTAGCATTAAACTAACAGCATCAACCAGGAAGTGGCCTAGGAACTGCTTTAACACCGCATAGTGCAGCGTTGCAAACATTTACAGATCTTATTCAGCAGCTATATGATGACAAAGTATGTCAAGTAGTTCACAGTGATAAGCTTACCAAAGTGTTCGAAGTGAAGATTCGAGTAAGAGAGGGCAGTCTACTATCGTCGATAATATTTCTTATTGTCATGGATTGGATCATGCTATACACCGTGAGTGAGGAGTAAGAAGACAAGCCTACGGTGAATTGATAAAAACACCCTAGAAGGTCTGGCTTTAGAGTATGGTTTGTGTCTCATGTCTTGCAAACTCGAAGACATACAAGCGAATACCAACATATCGACAGAAGAGGTAACGAAAATAGGGCTTCAACTGGACAGAGACGATGAAGATGTCTGACTATCACCACCACCACGAACAAGCATCATTCACTATAAACGGAAGAAATTTAAGCGAAGTAACTTCTCTTACTTATTTGAACAGCATCATTTCAACTACAGGCCGCAGTGATGAGGATTTTTAAGGGCAGATCTCCAGCACATAGCATAGGAAACAGGACCGGGATGTTCATCACTACTTTGAAGTTTGTGAGTGATTCAATATGATCGGGAGACTTGGTGGTGGTATCGCCGGAGTTATTTTCAACAGGCAGCTGCAAACTTTCATTAACAGGTACTTTAATTCCATGCTGAAAATTAGGGAGCCAGAAAGGGTAAGCAGCAGGGGACTCTTGCAGATAGCAAACCAACCAAAAACCTGTCGCCTAACAAATATTTGGAAGAGATGTTTAAAGCTGAGAAGAAATGCAAAGAATGTCATATGCTAGGCAGGCCATTGAGTGCAATTTGAATCGGAAACGACCGGTTAGAGGTCGCAGGATGGTATTAAAGAGATGATATGAAGAGGAAGTGAAATAAAATCTTGTAGGCACTCATAGAAACCTCTGAAAGTGATTGTAGAGGTCCTAGTGGAATGGAGATGAGTTATTGAATAAATAAAAAAATAAATAATAATGACTCATGATAATTGTTACTATAATGTTAACTTGAGTGGTTGAAATCCAGTGGCATATTTTTCACTAGTTCTCAAATACAGGTCTATCGCCTAAGAGATAATGCCTGAGTAGTGTTAAATCATACCTGAGAAAAGTGAAAATATTATCTGTCTCTCTATGGCTTCCGCCTGTTTCATTTTCTGGTTGATATCAATCTATAGTTAAATTTACCTTTTTACATCCAGAAAGCTTAATTATATGTCAACTAGCTTTCTCTTACTTCAGGTTCACTAGTTTCTACTAATTAGAGTATAGATTATATTTCATAGCCTGTGTCTGTTGCCTGCAGTTTGTTTTAAATTCCATGCCTCCGGAAGTTCTGTGGTTCTATGCGCTGTGGGATAACTACAATCTCCTGTTACATGTCTATTTTGTGTAATTGTTGAGAGTCATTAAAACTAAGCCTGATTAAAGTTACCGCTGTTTTGTCCTCATATTTCACAAACTCCATGAGATTATTCATAGAACTTCCAGTTTCTTTACCCTCTTTGTGTTCTAATTGTTAGATATATTGAGGATTAGTCATTTGAAGGCAGTGCTTTTAGGCGAATAGCATTTTACAGGCCACTTATTGGACAGTTAGAAACCATTATAGTTGACCATCCTGGCAACTGGAATTTATGAATTCTTCGCATAATTTCTTTTTCTACAATGCATGATACTATATACACGAATAAATCTCTAAGCTCAAAGCCAACCAGATGAATTCCATTCACATCCACTGATTATTAAGATTGTCTCAGTTATTGTGGATTCGAAAAATTGTTTCGTTCGTGGAGATTACCAAATATCACCATTGTGGTAGTGAATACTGCTACTAAAATTGATTGATTTCGAAGTTTCATTGCCTTGCTTGTAGTAACTCTTTGAGTAATACTGATTTAATGTTTCACTGTAAGCATAAGCATTAGAAACAAAGTTTGGATCTTCATCAGTGAGTGTTTCTATGTAGTTCAGAAACTTGGCCATTGGGTCATGTAAAGCATTCCCAACAGGCTATCATAGACTTTCCTCAGCAGCTGATTTCACTGTTATTACTGAAGATCAAATGGCCAGCTGGAAAGTATAAGTAACAAGGACCTCTGGCAGACAGCGAACAAACCAAGAATCTGTACATAAGGAAATTGTGATGGATTGGGTACACTCTTTGGAAGCTGTTAAAAGACAATGCTCACCAGACTGGTTCTCGAGTGGAACGTCAGTGAGAAATGATGAGCTGGATGTGGGTCCTGGTGTGACACGCAGAAGATTGTGTTTGGAAGAGATGAAAGTTTATGGTCAATCATGAAGTTAGCTAAGAAAAGGTCTTCATAGAACGCGGTGAAATGAATGTATACTGCTGAATTCATATGTTGCACACGGAACCCAAAGAAATAGTAATAACAGTAATTATCTTTGAGAACAGTGACTAAATGACTTAATACTTCAACCTTCAGACAATTTCTTCCACGATTTTGAATTCTACCTCAACTATTTAAGCTCAAACAAGTGAGTTATATCGTCACGTTTTGGCGTATGTCTTAAACGACGAGTGCTGGATACAGGTCCCTCTGAGGACACCATCACTAACTGGAAGATGTGTAGGCTGATATGTCCGACTTAGGATGAAATGCACATTCTCAATTGCACTAGATATCATCTCCAGATGCTACTTATTCTACAATGGCGAACAATATTTCAATTTAGTGAATGAGTAGAACAGAAAGAGATATTGTGAAGTGGTTTTAATTAATTACTTTTTAAAATCTATCCAAATTAGCTTACAGCTGAAACGAGAAAATTTTGTTTTTTACATTCTATCACTGTTTCATCGTCATCATCATAATCATGATGATAATCACATGAGTTATCATGAGGCCTAAAAATGAAATATGCTCGTCAACTTGGCTCATCTGTAGAATTTGTTACCAGCCTTATGATTATATCCGTACTGATCTTATTTTACGTACATATACATATAAATATATGTACGTCATCTAGTCACATGGGAATTCAACTCATCTTGCTTAACAGTTCATTTGATGTCGTATACAACATGAGGCTTTTTATTGTTAATATACGTGGTGAATCTATACTATGTATAGACTTATTATGATTTTGTATATTTATATGTCCACAGTGAATTAGGCTTTTTCTACTTCTAACTAAATATGTCATCGTTTGCTTCCGTTACATTCAACAGATTATTATTACTCCCTTTGAATCTCTTTGGAACTTAAGGTTTCAGTGGTGAATCTCCACTTCATCCTGTTCCCTATAGTCCTTTTTATCTGGCTCCATGATTGACTGACTATAAGCTTCCGTCTCCTTCTTCTCACACGATTTCCTCCATGTCACCCATAGAGCAACGCCCAACTCGATGTTTCCTATTTGTGTTCCAGCCAAGTGATGGCCTAGCATGCATCGTCACTAAACAGTTGCCTCAGAGAATGTCCATTCCATCTCCGTTTCCTTCTGCATGTTAGTTGGGTGATAGGTTCATAATTAGTGCACTGTCTGCCAGAGTTCTTTGTTGATTATCCCCTTTCTGCCAGCCATCTAATCTTCAGCTGATCACAGTCTGCAGTAGCCTGTTGGAAATGCTTTTAGTGAAGTGCATGCCAAGTCACTGACCTGGCATTAGTTTTGAAGACCAGAATCTTGTTCATTATGCTGAGTATAGGATATTTCCACTCTGATTTCAGATTAATAGTAGTGGATAAATTTATTTCCTGCTATTGAGTATTGGCTTCTGTGCAGAGTAATGACTGAGTAAAGTGAGGCTGCTGTAGGGGAATATAAAATCAATCAATCATGCACGTCTTGTGCGCGAAATCAGCGCGCATTATGCGAAAATTATAAACAAACAGTTTACACAGTTTAACCCCATAATAACTTAATAACCTTATGCCAAACATTCCATTTATATCTCCACATTTATCTCGGTTGCCTTGACCAGTGAAGAGAGTTAGAATAGGCCCATCAAAGTGAAATGAGAAACAAATCAGTATTGAATTTTGCACAGATGCATATCAGATCAACTGGTCAGAAAACGAAACAGCCCACACAACATTAGACATTAACTGACTTACTGACTGAATTTCAACATAGAACTTTACACAGAAGTGTAGCAGACCAACTTCTTACACTCCATGCAGTACGAAAAATTGTCGAAAAGGGAGAGAAAAGAGATGCAGAATGACTATAATGAACAGAAATATGTGGAGGAAAGAATAGCAACAGTGCAAAACATAAGCGTTTAACGGATATGGGAGATTAAAAGGAGTAAATTCATGTGTTCCAGTGACAATTACTTTGGGCCATGTTACCAATAACACCCAGCCAATTGTTCTTAGTATCCCAACCAGGTAGTCTACACCTATCCACGTGACTCAAACCAACTGCCAACGATTTCACTTACTGAT